TTTATAAATCACTTTTTAACGCATCCATTCTTCTAAACGAATGGTATAAAGTTTGTCGTTTGTTTTATTGATAGATTATTTTGGCTGGATAATTTATTTACAACTAATTTTAACTACGTGGCTGCTGCTGCAAGGATCCGAAACATCGAGCTGTAGTTAAAATAAATTGTGAATAAGTCTATTAAAATGTTTCACGTTTTAAATCGTTAAAAATGTTTCATTGCAATGTGTACTACTCGCGTAAATTACAGACAATACGAAAATTAAGCTACTGCTTCTATGACAATAAAATCCGGGAAAAATATTTACTACCTTACGCTTAATTTTTCCAAATCTGCTTACACATTAAAAGTAGACGACATTCTTCCAATTTTGCATTTTTAATCCTGTTAAATAAAATGTAGAGATAAGTCTTAATAAGTACGCCTACAAGGGTTCTTCTGAAGTGTGAAAATATATGCAAGAAAAGAGACAATTTTCAAGATCATCTTCAAGACCCTCTAGGAAACAGGCGTGCGTGACTTCGTGTACGAGTGTTATGGATAAGTGCGTGAGCTATTAAAAAAAAACATGTGCGTTAACTAGACGAAAGGACTCCGTAACGCATTACGTATCGCATACCGTTTACGTTTCCATAGTAACTCTTCACTAACTTCACTTTAAGCTTTTATTGTGTATTTATTTATTTATTTATTCATAAGGTACACAAACAAAACACAAACAGTTATAAACAATAAGTCTTAAAAAAAATTTAGCTGGTAAGCCTCTTTAGAATAAATAAATATTCAATAAGTCAGAGAAATGTGTAGAGAAAGTGATTTTACACTTTTATATAAATGATAGTATATTACTAACTTCACTCCTGATGAAGTAATACTTTACTACCATATTAATATACATTTAACATGTGTATGTAATTTTTAAGAATTCTTCTTCTAGGTATATACCTAGAAGAAGAATTCTCCATAGCAATATTGCTATGAAGGATATTTATTTTAAATCAGAGAAATTAAGAATAAACTAATAATAATACAAAATAAAATATGCGAGTTCAAAGCGATCATTCTGAAAAGAACTTTAACAAATATTATGCAAAGTGTAATTCCTAATACTAATACTAAGTAGCTCTAAAAAGAACTTTTTAAGTAAAACATAAAAATGTAAAAAAAATTTGAAATATTCAATGTCCTTCGCGCCCACTACGTAAGTAGCCGGCCGCACTGCCCCTCTATCGTCGAATTAGTTACTCGATGCGCCGCCGCCGGCATGTATTTTTATTTTAATTTCATGATATCTTTTGAATGGAATGTCCGATTTCAACAATCAACAGGTATTGAGACAGTCTTGAATATTTAATTATTTATTTGGATAAAAATTTATAAATGGTACGGATAACACGGTCTGATTTTGATCGGCATTTCTAGTTTTCTAGGCTATTCTAGTTATAACGACGTAACTACAATAGTTAGACATATGCTCTGGCGATGTTTTTTGTAGATATTGATATTTTTAGGAATCAGAAGCGGATTTACTAAAATAAAAACAAAATAACACAACAACTAAATAAATTAAAATTCAACAAAATCCTATCGACCGGCAGCACGTCCGTTCCGTACAACGAACGGCAAAAAAAGTGTGTGAGCCGTTGCTTGAGGCTTGTTTATATAGCCTCCAGTGTGGCGGGTAGTTGAGCTTTTCTGATTTCCAACACGGCCTCTCCTGACCGTGTCCGTCCTCGGGCACCTCCTCCGTCGCGACCCCCTCGCGTGAGTCTGTGCGCAGCTGGGGACGGCTACCTGCAGCCGCGTGCACACGTGACCACGCGTTGTGCTAAGCTGTCTTTTTATGGAAAAAAAATACGGTTGGCCGAAGTATGGAGAGCCACATCCCGTAGCTACCGCAGTCGTCCTCGAACCGATCGCCTCGAGCCGGGTCGCCTGCGGGCCGACCAGGGGCCCGGAACGTACTTCGGCTGAGCGCGTGACCGCGCAACCTGAAGCACCGTTTCTTCGCACCACGACATTGACGAGACGACGCACGAGCGCACATCCACGATGCGCGGGTATGTCGGCGGACCTCGCCGCTCGCGCCCTGCTGCGACTCTGCCATGTGACACCAACGCCCAGAGAAGACACCCAGGCGGCGGCCACCGCTTCCGCGCTCTAAACGCCGGAAGTTGCGATTTCGGCCGTCACCCTCCTCGACCGCCGAAGGAAGCCGCATGCGCGCCGTGTAGTCCGCGCGTGGGCTGCGCGCTGCTACTGGTGGCGTGGCGCCGGTTGAACTCCCCCTCGTTCCAGGGTCGTCCCGGCTGCCTGCTGCCACCGTGCCGCTCTCCCGATGCAGCCATTGAACACGAACAAGAAGCACAGGACACGGTGTGCGCGAGACGAAGCCGCCCGTGTCTCCGAGCGCCTGCTGCCGCTCTCCTGACGCAGCCATTGAACACGAACAAGAAGCACAGGACACGGTGTGCGCGAGACGAAGCCGCCCGTGTCCCCGAGCGCCTGCTGCCGCTCTCCTGACGCAGCCATTGAACACGAACAAGAAGCACAGGACACGGTGTACGCGAGACGAAGCCGCCCGTGTCCCCGAGCGCCTGCTGCCGCTACCAGGATCGTCGGGTGTTGAAGAGTAGCCATTCAACATCCTCCTCACACGAAGCGTGCAGCACCCAGTACGTCGGTGCGCGAGACGAAGCTGCTGACGTCACCACCGGCCTGATGCTGCTCGGCAGCACATCTGCTGACAGGCTCGTAGAAACGAGTCGCGTAACCCGCAACCTGCCGCAGGCTCATCAGCGCAAAGGAGAATATCTAAACATCCATAAAAAACTCCAGGATGTGCACACAGCTAAACATCCATAAAAAACTCCAGGATGTGCACACAGCTAAACATCCATAGAAAACTTCAGGATGTGCACACAGCTAAACATCCATAAAAACTCCAGGATGTGCACACAGCTATACATCCATGGGGACAGGTCGCATCATCAGTACTCCCAGTACTTCATATTCAGCCACGCTGCATGACCACCACACCAGCGAAGTCAATCGCCGATGCTCACATTCACAACTGCAACATTAAGTAAAAACATTACAGACATTTAAAGAAAGACGTGTGCAGTATCTAGGCACCATATATTGGGCAGCGGCCTGTGTTGTTCAACTTCATTTTGCATCAACCGTTCGGCCGTCCTTTGTAATCCAACTTCTCGAAAGGCTTCACGGTTTTTACCTGACACGATGGCGACAACACATACCAAAGCTCGTATTACAGGTGTTGCGTTTTCAGAACCGACCTGAGTTGATAAAATCTCAACGACCTACCCTCTAAGGTAGCTAAACGCGAAACCCATAACGGTCAAAACTATTTCGTTATAAAAAGCAAAAATTGTAATTATTCGAGGGCGTGAAAATCTTTATCCCACTACTGATTTTAGGAATCAGAAGCGGATTTACTAAAATAAAAACAAAATAACACAAAAACTAAATAAATTAAAATTCAACAAAATCCTATCGACCGGCAGCACGTCCGTTCCGTACAACGAACGG